CTGTGAAGGACTGCTTGAAGTGCAAAGCACCAAGAGGCCCTTTGTGGAGGTACCTGTGGGCAACAACACAAAACATAACATCACACTACCAAGGAAAACAGCCCTTGGCAGTATTCATTCTGTTGAGAAGGTGATTACAATGGACTCACTAGGAGAATCTAAGCCCACAGTGACAGCCAACAGTGCCACCTCTACATCTACTCATACCAACTTACCCCTATGGCAGCCTCCTGTCGACATCAGCCATCTTAATGAGGAACAACAGGCAAAAGTTAACAAAATGCTTTGCGAGGAAGCAGGGGCTTTTGCTCGTGACAGTAGTGATATAGGATGCATACCCAGTTTGCAAATGGCAATCAACTTGAAAGATGATATCCCTGTTCAGAAAACCTACTCATCCATCCCTAAGCCACTTTTTAAAGAGGTTAAAGAGTACATACAAGAACTTTTGGTAAAAGGCTGGATAGTAAAGTCTCAGTCCCCGTACGCCGCCCCAGTTGTCTGTGTCAGAAAGAAAGATGGCAGTTTACGCTTATGCACAGACTATCGCCTTCTGAACAAAAAGACTGTTCCCGATCGACACCCACTGCCCAGGATACAGGATCTGATTGATACTCTGGGTGGGTACTCGTGGTTTAGCATCTTAGACCAAGGAAAAGCTTACCACCAGGGTTTTGTAGCTGAGGGCTCTCGCCACCTCACTGCCTTCATAACACCATGGGGTCTTTATGAATGGGTTCGCATCCCATTTGGTCTCACAAATGCCCCAGCTGCTTTTCAGCGGAGCATGGAAGAGATGCTTGGCTCTCTTAGAGATGAATGTTGCATCCCATACCTCGACGATGTACTTTGCTATGCAAAAACATTTGACGACCATGTTGAGACCCTCCGCAAGGTTCTCCAGGCACTCCAAGAACATGGAGTAAAATTGAGGCCGGAGAAATGTGACCTCTTCAAACAAGAAGTCAGATATGTGGGTCAGCTTGTGTCCGCTGAAGGAGTCAAAATAGACCCGGCAGACCTGGAGGCTGTCAAAACCCTGACATCTAAGACACCTCAAACAGTTGGTGATGTGAGGAAGCTGGCAGGCTTTCTAAGCTACTACCGCTCGTATATCCAGGATTTTTCCCGGATAGCTAAACCAATAGCTAATCTATGAACTCCTTCAGACCAAGCCAGGCAAAACTCAGTGTCCAAAATCTGTGAGAAACAGTAAACACTCACAGCTGTCCTCTCGAGAGCACGTTGAGTGGACTCTGAAACACCAGAGAGCGTTAGAACAGTTGGTAACCCTCCTCACCAACCCCCCTGTTCTGACATATCCCGATTTTAGCCTGCCTTTCACATTGCATACAGATGCATCTGACCAGGGCTTAAGAGCTGTCCTGTATCAGCGTCAACATGGGAAATTGAGAGTAATTGGCTATGGATCTAGGACTCTGACACAAGCAGAACGCAATTACCACCTGCATAGTGGAAAATTAGAGTTCCTTGCGTTGAAATGGGCTGTATGTGAAAAATTCCGTGACTACCTGTACTATGCCCCACACTTCACAGTTTATACAGATAACAACCCCCTAACCTATGTAATGAGTACCGCAAAGTTAAACGCAGTGGGACATAGGTGGCCGTGGAGGGTATGAGTATATTCTAGTGGTAATTGACCATTTCACTAGATTTGCTCAAGCATACCCCACAAGGAACAAGAGTGGGAAAACAGCTGCTGAACGGATTTTCCAGGATTTCATACCCAGATTTGGATACCCATCCAAACTACATCACGACCAGGGTCGTGAATTTGAGAATGAACTGTTCAGGACACTACAGAAATTATCTGGTGTCGGACATTCTAGAACATCACCTTACCATCCTCAAAGTAACCCTTCAGAACGTCTCAACAGGACAATACTCCAGATGTTGAGAACATTAACC